ATTAGCAGGTGATATCTTTGATACTGAAAGATATATGCAGGATCAACCTACACTAACTTTTTATTTAAGTTCCATAGTCAGATTCACAAGTACAAAGCAGGTAAGGTATATGGTCCCTTTAAACTGAGTTTAAAGCTACTTCATTACCCCATAGCAATGCAAAACAATCAGTTCCTCTGTTTTCCATGTAGGTAGATGGGCACTGGAAAAGGTTCAGAAAAGGGCAACAACAATGAATAGGGATTTGGAACAGGTGCCATATGAAGAGAGATTAAAAAGACTGGGACTTTTCACCTTAGAAAAGAGGAGACTAATGTGGGTTATGAAAGAGGGCTATAAAATCATGAATGGTTGGAGAAAGTAAATAAGAAAAATTATTTACTTGTTCCCATAATATAAGAACTAGGGGTCATCAGATGAAATTAATGGATAGCAGGTTTAAAACAAACAAGGAAGCTTTTCTCCACACAGCACAATCAGCCTGTAGAACTCCTTGTCAGACCATGTTGTGAAGACCAGGACTTTAACAGGGTTCAAGAAAGAACTAGATAAAGTTGTGGAGGTTAGGTCCATCAATACTTATTAGCAGGGCTTAACAAACAATGTTGCTGCCGCTCGGCAAGCCCTGCTTATTAGCCAAAATGGGTAGGAATGGTGTCCCTAGTTTGTTGGGGCTGGAAAGGGATGAAGGAAAAGGATGACTTGATGATGACCTGTTCGTTAGCTCCCTATGGAGCATCTGGCATTGGCCACTGTCAGACAACAGGATATTGGGCTAGATGGACCTTTGGTCTGACCCAGTATGGCTGTTCTTATGATGGAACCTGTTAACTGGCAACCCAGCTGGGCCTACTGCAGGATCCCGGTTAACTAATTAAACAGCACTTTATATCCCTACTTCCATGTTACATTTCCCGTCCCAAAACTCCACCTCTTCCCTGCTCAGACCCAACTAAGTTACCTTTCCTATTCCCTACATTTCTCAGCATTCACATAAATACCATCCTCCACTCTCCTGTTGAACAGGTACATTTTGAAAATACATATTTAGGATTAGCAGATGTACCCAGCATTGCTCAGGTCTTTAACTGAAGTAATTTTAAAAAGTCCATGTTTTATTTCAACAATTGTATTTTTCAAATATGAAGGTAAATGAAGGCTGGAATGAGTCTGGAGCCGAGGAGAGCAGGAGGTGCATGGCTTAGGGAAGAGAGTTGGACGGTGTGGGGGGACTCAAAGCAGGGGCTGGGGAGCAGGGCCCAATTTGAACCACTTTGGCGGGGGCCCCCCAACCAGGATATTCTGTTGAGCAAAAAAAAACCGTGCACCCACACAACAAACCACAACCACACACACATACATGGCTTAGGGAAGAGAGTTGGACGGTGTGGGGGGACTCAAAGCAGGGGCTGGGGAGCAGGGCCCAATTCGAACCACTTTGGCGGGGGCCCCCCAACCAGGATATTCTGTTGAGCAAAAAAAACCCGTGCACCCACACAACAAACCACAACCA